ATACATTTTTTCCAAACATATTTTTTATTGCAAAAACGAAAAGGTTTACAAAATTTTTTTAACTACATTGTTTATAAGGCCATAAAGAACACATTTACTCAATATATCCCCCGCTTGTTTAAATGACCGTCTCCATTCTCGGTCTGAAGCGTGCGCAGGCGCGCTTTAATGTGTCACGGTTCATATCGGTGAATGCCGCTTCAATAGCGGCTCTCAATGATGCGACGTTTGGATGTCTGGACTTGTTTGAGACCCTTTCAACTACGCTCCATACATAGAAGTCCAAAGAATTCAAATCTGGACTGTTGGGAGGCCAGAATTCTTTCGACCAAAACATGTCGACGTTGTCCAACAACCCATTTTGCACCAAATGACTTGTGTGGGCGGGTGCACCGTCCTGTTGGAAAACATACGGCTTTCTAGACGACACAGTTTCCATCCACGGCTTCATTACATTTGTCAGAACATGCAGATAAACTTCTTTTGTGACATTTTCCCCTTTGTTAAAGAAATGCGGTGGCATGACATCGCCCTCACTGGATGTTGTTGCAAAACCTTCGTTGGACTTCTCCGACTCATTGTACTTTGCGATGACATCATACACAGTCGATCTCGGGTACCCGAAGAACCGAATGATTTCTGTCGCCGAGCGCCCAGCGCGAACACTTTCGATAATCGCGGTTCTTCAGTTATACTCCGCACTTGATTTCAACATTGCGACTGTTTCGAGGTTATGATGGTTTAGTACATGCGTCAAACTATTTGAACGCTAATCGCGATATCTACCAGTGGTATAGAACGGCGAGAATTTCAAATTGAATTTTGTCCGGATTTTGGCTCCGCACCCTGTATATATAAGTGTCCCATTTTAAATTACGCACCTGAATATCTCGTCAGGGGAGCCACCAATCCGAAAATAACCCTTACAAAAGTTGTTGGGTTCGGAGGGGGATATCGGATGGTAATTTTCAATTTCATTTTGACCTTCAAGGTCATTTGAAGTTCAAATCGAATTTTTAAATAAAAACCCCTATTTTTTACCCCGGATTCGGAAAGAGCGCAAAATTTTACGTTTAGGTGGGTACTTGAGGCTCTTCTTTGGAATGACCTTCAAAGGTTATTTCAAAGACAAAATATTTGAAATTACGCACCTGAATACATATCTTGTCGGGGAGCAACCAACCCAACCCTTACAAAAGTTGTTGGGTTCGGAGAGGGACATCGGACAGTGACATTCAATTTTACCTTGACCTTGACCTTCAAGGTCATTTGAAGATCAAATCGAATTTTTAAATAGAAACTTTAAAGTTATCATTTCAAGATCGAACCGCTTAATAACGTTTAGGAAAAAATTCAAGGTTTGAAAACTTGTGTATCAAACTCACAGTGATGAACCCATTTTTACAAAATTTAAATGTCTATGTAAATTCAAATCTTCGTTGAAACACAATCAACGTAGGCCCTGGATATCGATGTATGTATTATGTCGATGACTGAACGCAGGCTCTGTGTGAACAATTTTATTTTATACGAATGACTATTAATTCAAATATCTTAACCCAAAGAAAAAATATGTTATATACGCCCAAAGAAACAGAATTTTGTTTGTTATTTCAGACATTGTAAGTAACATGAAAATCAGTTTTAAAATAGCTCCGAAGTACCTTATCCACTATTTTCGAGGTCGCTCTTTCGATTGATGAAGTCAGAATTGCATTTTAGTCACCAAAAAAAAATATGGCGGATTTTAAACAAAAAAGTGACAAAAATTCTGAATTCTTCCGAGTTTGGGATTTTTTTGAGGGACAAAATGCCATCAAAATATTTTTGGACTTCAACCAAAAGTGCACAAAATAGTTCGAGATGACGACAAAATTTTTTCCCTGGCATGAAAAATTCCTAACCTCTTCATAATAACCGGAAAGCCCTGCGCGTTATTTGAATGTTGGAAAAAGAGATTCAAATAGCTGCCCGATCGCCCAAACTCTGAAAGTCTCTGAAAGTCCCTCGAAACTCGTATATGGGGGTTTTCGGGGTCGCTGAACACGAATCTGAGGTTAGAATTTCAAAATTCAAGATGGCGGATCCAATATGGCCGACAAAATATCGAAAAAAGCATCAAAACTAACTGAAAATGCATACATCAAGGTTTTTGGGGTCGCTGATCACGAATCTGAGGATAGAATTTCCAAATTCAATATGGCGGATCCAATATGGCCGACAAAATATC